TGATCTAGTATCAAGCTGTCCTTTTTGACAAGGTCAGTGACTTTTCACACTTTATTACTATTATATAGTCAGTTTGTGTCCTTACTATATTGAATGAGAGGCAGGACACTAAACTATGACCCTCAAAAGAAAAAAGCAACTTTCTTAAAGGGATACATGCAGGTCTATGAACAAAATCTTAATTCTTTAACTTGCAAATCTAACAAGTGTTAGATTGTAAAAGGATGGTACTTCTAAAATCTATCCATCCTTTACCATGAAGAAAGCTAAAAAGGAAAATTAAGTCACACAAAGCATCTGCCTAACATTATCTGACCCTGGCATTTATTATTCTTTTGTATAACCATTATTATTCTTTTGTATATTTCATTATATTTGTCTCACTGCCTAGACTTCATTTATGTATCTAATTTCTTCTTCTATAATCAAGCCTGTTTCTATTTTTGTTATTAATTGTATAAAAAAACTTCCTGCTTGGTGTCTTTAAAATAACAACAAAAAAACCAAAACAGGTCTGCATAAAGAAATGGATTCATCTAAAATTTTCTATGAATGTCAGTTTTTATGAGATTTACTATATTAATATAGTTATATTAATAACAATGTCAAATTACTATCATAATGTAAGAACACATTATTTGTAAGTGCTGAACATACACAGTAAGAATACATACAAAAGCAAATACACAGGTATAGCATAAATTGCATAACTAGAAATAATCTTAATAATATATATGATATATATATTTTATATATAATATATAAAATAATCTTACTTTATAGAAACCACTGTTATACTCTATTTAAAAGAGTATTATTGAAGCAATTCCATCATAAAAACATATATATTTTCTATGTATACTGTATAACATAAAAATACATGTGTAATTGATTTTAATATTCTTCTATATAAAATATTATTAATCTACCAAAATGGAAGTTATACATAATTTAAAATTTGACTAAAATATAGAATTGGATGATCCTTTAGACAGAATGCTAAGTGAATCTGAATGTGTGTTAAACCAAGGCACACCAGCATTACTTTGTACAGCCGATCAATAGATATCAGCTTTAAAAAGAGAGAGATAGAAAGAAGCTGCAGCATATTTTTTTAAAATGACAAGGTGAAGGTTTAAATTGTCTCAATCAAGACTCAATTTTTTTCCTCCCTGTTTCTCCAGCTGTTCTCTTCCAGTTAAGACTCTTCATTTCAAATAAATTTAATTAGTTCCAATTGATCATACTAACACTTACAAAGGTTTCTCTATGCATCTTTGCTTATATAAGGCAAACTCTAACAAAGACTCCTAGGCTCAGGATAAAGGACCATATAACAACATTTACACTTGGTTCACTTTCACCAAAAAGAAAAAAATTCAGAAGTAATCAGCTGCCTTTAGTCAAAGCACGAGATTATACTTCATGTTTTAACTTGTTAGGTTGATCAGATTGTTTTTAAGAAACAAAAATTTAGTATATATATTAGCCAACTCAAGAATTGATTAAAAATATATGCAAATATTTGTCATGACATGATGTCTATCAATTTTATAAAAAGATATTTTTAGGTCAGTTCATTTTATATAACTGAAAAATTAATGAGATCTTTCAATGTGAATGGCTAGGCTGGACAGCTTTCTCCCTTTATAGTATTGGTCCTCTACAATGCTGGTTATCCCCAAATAAGATTATTGTACTTGAAACAGATTTCTCTCAATGCACCTACCATATTTTTCATAATGCAATTTATATAGGATTCTAGTCAATAAAAAGAAATACAGTTTTCTTCTAAACCTCCACAAAAATCTATACCACCGTTAAATCAAGTCACACAGTCTAAAGGTAACCTGAACAATCTACAGACTGTAACATGCTATTTGCTTTGACAACATGTTAAAGAAGCCTTTTTATTTATTTAAATATCTTGGATATTGAGCATTCTTACTTCTAGTTCCCATGGCACAAAATGAATAAATCAACTGACAAAAACCATTCGTCACACATGTTCAAATAAATTTCTTTAGATTAAAACATATTGTATGCACTATTAACTCTCCAAATTGGACTTGCATCTTAAACTTCTTAACTTTGTTAATGATAAAATAAGAACACAGTCATGTGCTATTACACTGTCTCATTAATTTGGTAGGGCATAATTCAAAATTCCAATGTACTGAATAATAATGCTTACTTGACTGCTCAAAAATTGAGCATTTATGCAAAATGTTAATTGAGTTGTTTTACTATATAGAAGCAAATTACTTTGCAATAAATAAAATGGCTACTTTTTATAGATTAGAAGGTCTTTGAATTTATGTGGAATTATGAAATAACAAAATACATCTATATAACATAAAAAAGGCAATTAAAAACCATTAAAAAAAAGGTAGAAAACATCTCTACACTAGTGGCTAGTAATCCAACTACTCAGGAGGCTGAGATCTGAAGATTATGGTTCAAAGCCAGCCTGGGAAATGAAAATCAGAACAAGCCTTGAGATTCCATCTCACCTCAGTTAGACTGGCCAACATCATGATTATGAGCAACAAGTGCTGGCAAGGATATGGGGGAAAAGGAACCCTATTGCACTGTTGGTGGGAACGTAAACTAGTACAACCATTCTGGAGAGCAGTCTGGAAGTTCCCTATGACCCAGATTACCACTCCTGGGCATCTACCCTGAACATCACAAGCCAGGATACTGTAAAGACACTTGCATATCCACGTTTGTTGCTGCACTATTCACAGCCAAGCTATGGAAACAGCTCGGATGCTCTACAATGCATGAGTGGATCCAAAAAATGTACCTACACACAAGGGAATTTTACACAGCCAGTAGAAAGAATAATATTATGTCATTTGCAGGGAAATGGATGAACCTAGAACAAATCATGGTAAGTGAGGTAAGCCAGGCTCAGAGAGACAAACAGTGCATATTTTCTCTCATATGCAGAAGCTAGACCTAAAATATACTGGGGCATGTTAAATTATACAGGACTGTAGGCATTCACACACAGTGAGATCAGGATACTCTTAGGAGAGAAACACAAATGTACAATGTATATGCTTCTGATCATATAAAGTAGTATCCAAAAGAAAACAAGAGGGTTAGCCGGGCGCCGATGGCTCACACCTGTAATCCTAGCTACTCAGGAGGCTGAGATCTGAGGATCAAGGTTCAAAGCCAGTCCAGGCAGGAAAGTCCGTGAGACTCTTATCTCCAATAAACCACTAGAAAACTGGAAGTGGTGCTGTGGCTCAAGCGGTAGAGCGCTCGCCTTGAGCTGAAAGAGCTGAGGGATAGCACCTAAGCCCAGAGTTCAAGCCCCATGACCGACAAAACAAAAACAAAAAACATACAAAAAAACAAGAGGTTTTATTTCTTTGTTGCTATTTTTTTTCAGTCCTATTTGCTCATTTATCTGTCTTTGGGAGGGTAAGGGGTAGGCATAGAAATGGAGGGACAGAAGGTGAAAAATGCAGCAGCAGCACTTACTAGATACTATGATGAAAATCAACTATATGTTTTGTTGGGTGGGGATGGGAGGGAAGAACTGGGAGAGAACAAGGGCAGAGTTGACATTGTCCAAATAGAAATGTACTCTACCTGTCTTATGTAACTATAACCCCTGTGGTACATCACCTTCATAGTAACAACTTTAAAAAGGAGGGGAAAAAGCCAGCCTAGGCAGGAAAGTCTGTAAGAATCTTATTCCCGCTTAAGCTGTAGCTCAAGTGGTAGAGTGCTAGCCTTGAGCAAAAGAGCTCAGTGATGGCCCCACAACTGACAAAAAAAAAAAAAAGAATTAAAAAATAACAAGTAATAACTCCAAATTACCCACCTTTACTGAAAACTAGATATTCTCCAACCTAGATGATACTTCTTTGCAGGCCTTATATAGGCTATAAGTTTCTTAAATACAGGTTTTGTAAATTTTCAAGGTAAAACATTTGGTTTCCAAAAGTTAAAGGCATGCAATTGGAAACATTAATGGACTTGCCACACATAGCATTAAAAGCAAAACAAAATAAAACAAAAAAACTCTTTAATTTTTATTGAAAATTTATTATTTTCTTATTCTTTTGAAAACATTACTGATTACTACTGTGTTCATATTTCTAGCTTCATAATAATTATGATTATATTTTTAACCATCTACAACAGAAAATTATCATTGTCAATGCTTACAAAACTACATATATATGCTATTGGGGGTGATTTTTAGCATTTTAAAAAACTGTTATTGTAAGAGGGTTAACAGTTATGTAAGTCAGGTAATAAGTACATTGCGTTTAGACAATGTCACCCCTTCCCTTGCTCTCTCCCAGTTTTTCCCTCTAGGTTGTTGTTTTGTCCTGTGTATTTCAAAAACAGTAAGCTGAATGAATATGAAGATTCAGTAATTAAAATTGGTTCAAGTGTACAAACAGCCTAAACCTATGAGTTTCCTAAAATTTACATATGCCTGATTGCACAGCAGATAATACATGTAAGAATGCTCAATATCTACACAAGGTAAATCTCCAAAAAGCAAAATGTATTTTATAGTTTTAGGTGTAAGAAGTAGCTGCAAGTTTCTTTATGAGCCTATATGGTATATATTACTATGACAATTTCATTATTCTTTAGTTTAACCTAGTAGAATGATTATAAAATCTTTTACAATCTAATGAAGTATATTCTTCTGTATGTTTCAAGTCTGTAGTAATGATCTCACTTTCTGAATTAAAAGTTCTCCAGGAAATAAAGTGCACAATGAACAACTTTATTGTTATACAGTGATGACAATGTATGCTCCTGGGTCAAATAAACAGTTTCAGTTCTTTTCACCTCAAAATTAAAAAGGATACTCCAGGTTTGTAGGAAACTGAACATACCATCAACATAAGCTTCCAGCCTTTCCATCAAAATACTCCTTTCCAATAAAAACAATGTAGAAGACATCTGCACCATTGAACAAAGCACCATGCAGATTATGTGAAAGATGTCTAACTTACCAGTGGTGATGTCATCATCCACAAGGTCATGTTCTTCTTCTGGGACTTTGGTTTCCTGTCCCAAGGTATCAGGAGCAGTGGTCATGGTCTGCATGGCTTCTGCTGTAACTCCAGCTAAATGTACAGAAATCACAAGGTGGCATTTTAAAAAACAAGAGAAGTTGAACAAAATTACTAAACTTTTAATTCGCTAGATGCCCCTAAATTAGGATGAGATACAAATCACTACATAAAACACTCATATGTGTTCTATTTCTTATATGTCTATACGTGTATGGACACATTCTATATTTTGTTTTAACCAAGATGAGGAAAACAGAAACAAGATGTTGAGGCAAATGAAATTTTTCCTTGATCCCTTTCAATCTTTCCTGCTACAGTTATGTTAGCTGATTTACACATAATTATATGATAAGCAGAATAAATAAAACCCTAGAAAGTAAAGAAGTAATTTAAAAGCTTACTTATATATATACATATATATATACTTATATATATATTACTTATATATACTTATTTATATATACTCTCTGGTTGAGCAAGGAGAATGATCACAGAAGAGGAGTTTATGCTTTCAATCTAAGAAAGAGAACAGCCCCAAAAGAGAGTAACCTTAGCTGGGTGCTGGTGACTCACACCTGTAATCCTATCTACTCAGAAGGCTAAAATCTGAGTATCCTGGTTCAAAACCAGCCTGGGCAGGAAAGTCCATGAGACTCCTATATCCAATAAACTACTAGAAAACCGGAAGTAGTACTGTGGCTCAAGTGGTAGAGCGCTCGCGCTGAAGAGGTGAGAGACAGAGGGACAGAGAGCCCAGGCCCAGAATTCAAGCCCCACAACCAACAACAACAACAAAAAAGAATATAACCTTTCTCTCTGTTAAAGAATTTCCCTCTGTTAAAGAATTCTAGATGGGATCTGATAATTATCAGATCAAAAGCAGACAGGCAATATGGATAAGGAACTAATAACTTCCAGTCTCTAAACACCTGAAAATCAGTCAGGTTATACCAAGGCCTTTCCTTACATACCCATTCTTCTACCTTTGGTGATATATTTTGTTGTAATTTGCATCTTCTGTATTATTTCTAACCTGATCATAGATAGTGGAGCAACATTAGCACTTTTTTTTCTGGTTCTACAAACAGTTATTATTCAATCATAGTATAATAAAAGCCTTGGCTTTACATTAGAAGTTGAACCTTGTAATCAAATCTTTTAAAGGGATATTTTAATTTCTACCTATACATGATCCATTTAAATACTTCAAAAAATAAACACTATTACTATTAAAAGGCTTCTCTTCTCCTAAGGTATATTAACTTACACATTTCTATGTGAGTTCTCCCTTGGTAAATTTAGGTTGACTAAAAGTGCTAAAAGAAGATGAATCTTAGTCATTAACCAGCATGAATGAGTCAGAACTGGACTTATCACTCAGCAGTTCCAAGCACTGATGGTTGACATGGAACCAAAATACAATATTTTAGGAAAAACATTTGTTCAGAGTTGCTCTGAAAAAAAAGCAAAGAAGATATTTTTGTCTCATATCTGGCTTTAGAAAAAATTGGTTCAGATTTTTTTTTGGGGTCCGGTAGTGGGGTCTGAACTCTGGGCCTGGGCGCGTCCCTCAGCTCTTCAGCTCAAGGCTAGCGCTCTACCACTTGAGCCACAGCGCCACTTCCGGCTTCTTTCTTTTTGCTTATGTGGTGCTGAGGACTCGAACCCAGGGCCTCGAGCATACAAGGCAAGCGCTCTACCACTGAGCCACCTTCCCAGCCCTGGTTCAGTTTTTTTTCAGATTTTTTTTTCCCATTTAGTATGTTAACTATAGGTTTGTCATATATAGCCTTTGTTATGTTGGGATTCATTTCTTCTATTCTTAGTTTCTTCAGAGCTTTTATTGTGAAAAGCTGTTGAATTCTACCCAAGGTTATTCTGCATCAACTGAGATGATTGTATGATTCTTGTCCTTGATTCTATTTATGTATTGTATTATGCTTATTGACTTTGTAAGTTGAACCAACTTTGAATGTCTGGAATGAAACTAACATCATCATGCTATAGGAATGATGTCCAAGAATGATCCTTGGAGAATGGTAAACAATGAAGTCACACCTTTACAGAAACATATTTATGGTTGAGTTTACAAGGTAATTTTTAACATAAAAGAGAGAGTTGCTAGAAAAGTAGCATTAAGGCTGGGTGCTGGTGGCTCATGTCTATAATTACACAGAAAGGTACAATACATGGACTAAATAGTAAGATATATAATAAAGAGATATAATAGGAAGATAAAAGCTACTTTTAAAAAATCAATAGGTTCCCAAACTGAGATTTCATAAAATAAAAAATGTATACACATTATACCTGATAACAAAGTCTCTACATTGGTTCTATACTGTGAATCAAGAGGAAAAGGGGAATGGAAAGCAGCAGGAAACTGGGGTAAGTAAGCCTTGCATGACAGCATAAGGGGTGTAACTAGCCAAAGAAGTGAAGAACAGAGAATAAGGAGAATATTATAGGATCTTCACAGCATTCAGACTTCTCAGGTCACTTTCCACTGTGATAGGCCTACACACATTAAACAATCCAATTTTATAGAATACTTTTAATCACATTGGAAAATGGTTTTTAAAATATAAACATAGAAATGAAGCCTTCCAAATCAATAGAATAAAACTATCAACCATCCCCATCAGTAAAATCAGATGCATTATTTAAAATTTGTAACTTTCATAGGCTTATATATTACCTTTATGAACATTTTTTCCAGCTGGCTTACAATATCTGAAGAATGATAAATAACATGAGCTCAAGAGACATCTACAGCACCATGTGATTAACTTGAAAATCAAGAATAAAATATTAATTTTAATTTAGTAAGATTCAAAATGAAGCACTTTAGCCAATACTGGAATATCAAACAACTTCAGCTCATTATGATTTTATTATTTTATTGAAGATTAGATGAAAGTAGTAATATTCCTAGGACAAAAAATTAAAAATATACAAATTATCAACAAAAATTTATTCCTTATCTTCACTGGATATAGATTTGCACTGAGATTAAAAAGCATAACCAAAAGAATAGCAGGTATTTTTATTTCATCAGTTTCTCCCAACAGCAATTTTCCTATGGTCCAATTAAAGTCCACTAGAAGCAATAATTTGCTATGAATCTTTACTTGCATGAAGGAAAATTTAACAATAAGACAGGGAATGTGCGGTTGTCTGTAGCCGGTTTCCAGGCAGAAGGCTTGGATTTATTGGAAGCAGATCTCTGCAGTGACTGACCAATACTGCCCCACATTCTCCACAATGCTTATGACAGACAGACGGCCGGCCTCACATTAATTCACTTCACACCACTTCTATCGATCCGCAGCCAGTTCCCTAGTCTCTCTGCACACATTGCCTGTCTGGCTGCCTACATCCACATCAGCACATACACACAAAGGCCACAGAAAGATAACCTTTTGCTTTCCATTAAAGACACAGTATCCACTTTTCCTTCTGCAGCAACATCAAAAATATAAAATACAACACCATAGATGTTGTCTTGCAGGAAAGACTTCCTGAAATAAATGTTAAGACATTTATCTTTTATTCTGAATAAAAAGCATTTCAATTATCAGAAATGAATTGGCTCATTAAAGGCACAAAGAAAGTAGAAAAATAAAAACATAAATAAGCATAAATACTTTCAATACAGAGAGTAAGTATTTCATAACATGAGAACTGATGTTTAATTTTTAAAAATTCAAAAGAATCACTTTGAGATTTTTAAAAGGCTTCTCTAATATAAAATGTAATTCAACAACCCAGAATGGAGCAAAATGAACATACTGATAAATACACAAGAAACCACAGGTGGTATACTATATCAACAGAATATTAATATGAGAGCATAAAGCTTTACTATTCCTCCTAGCCAAAAAAAAAACCCTGCAAATGATCAATGACAAAAGAAAATCATTTCTAATACTTCTAACTCCTTTCTGGTACTTTTTCAAAGACTTCTGATTTGTATGCAGGCAATGAGCTGGCATTACCAATTTTGATTTCAGAAAACCAAAATTAAACAAAAATTTATATTGTTCAACCTACAAAATGTTGTGAAACAAAGGCAAAACTGTCGTATACACACCATCTCGACGTTAGTATTTCTTGGCTGATTTATAAATCTCAAGTGGAAGCAGAATTATGTGTCTCAGAACTCTGCAAAGTAAATGTGAATATGAATACATTATGGAAACCCTTCGTGGACTTCCTTTTTGTTTATTTCTTTCCTTCCTTGTTTGTTTACCAGCATTGCTCAGAGGGTATACCATGAAGTACAGAAATAGTATAATAAATACAGTGTGCTAAGTGTAAGCACTAATTTGTTATTATTATAATAACAGTAGATTGCTTTAAGAATCAAAGAGGGGAAACTGACATAGGCTGCTGTAGCCAATTAATAGCTTTAAACATAAAAATGTTGAGATGACTGGGCCTGCAAAGGTCATTGATCTGAATTTAAAAGGGTCCAATGTTACCCATATGAGTAAAACAAACCATCAGATTGGTAACCAAGCAAAGTTCTCACATTATTTAAACGTTCAAGAAGTACTCAGGCTATGTGGAACAATCCTTGTGCTAGGTGAGACACAAGGTGAAAAGAGCGTTCTGGCTTCCAACAAGAACACTGGGTAAGGAAGCTGAAGCCAGGAAATAGCATTAAAGAAATGAAAATGTTGGGCCTGTCATGGTGGCTCACGCTTATAATCCCAGTTATATAGGAGGATCTTGGTTCAAGGCCAGTCTGAGTAAAAAAAAAAATGTGATCAAGTCTTTATCTCAAAACACAAGCTGAGTGTGATTGTACATGTTTGTAGTCCAAGATATATGGGAAGTAGGAGGTAGGAGGTAGGATTTGGTTCTAGGTGGTCCCAGCAAAAAGTACAGGACCCTACCTGAAAAATAAGCTGAAGTAAAAAGAGCTGGAGGTGTGGTCCAAGTGGTGGAGTGATTGCCCAGCAAGTACAAAGCTCTGAATTCAAATCCTAGTACCACCAAAAAACAAACCCACCTCCAAACAACAACAAAAAATGGGTGGAGGAACA